TGTTTGTGATCTCATAGCTTCTGAAGCCAAGCGTATTTTATCTGAGTTCTCTGCTCAGTACATCACAGAGTGGAAACAAGATGACAGCTGCAGGTAGAGATTTGACTAGGGAAAGAGCTAGTTTCACACTCTTGCCTTTCTTGGTAAAATAACTTTCTGGCAGCTCTAAGACCAGGGTCCAAGGATCGTTGCTACCTATTGGTCAAGAATCACTTTCAGCTCCACTACTTGCTGGTCACCTTTCCTTGCCATGTGGCTCCCATGAGCAGCTCAGAGCATGGTGGCTGATTCTGCTTCTTTTAGGGAAACAAAAACACATCTATCTTGTCTCTCACAAACAAGCCAGAGAAAACACTAATTTTTTTTTTCATAGTCCCAGAAAAGGCCTCAGTTCATTAATTCAGCAAACCCAGGATGAGGTGCCTTTGCCATATTACATAACAATCACGAAACTGCTATTTCTTTCTATTTCCAGGTTCTACTCACATGCAAAAGGAAAGCATTTTACTGGCCACTTTCTCCACAATGTGTGAATGTTGAAATCATTTTAGAATTCTGCCTGCCATAGATGTAGTCTTGTTTAAGAAGAGCAGGAAGGGCATTGGAAAAATTTGTTCCTGGAGGGTTTAAAGAATTAACATTTAAATTGTTTGAATATTGTCTTTTTATTTTAGGTTTTTGGTATATTTCTCTATTTCCATGGAAATGGTCTCTTAAGCATTCTACCTCAGCTGGTCATGTTTTATAAATTTTTGTTAAAATTATATATTTTATGTAAGCATTAAAATATGTCTAAAATTTTGTAAAATAGGTTTTATAATAATAATAATTATTACATATTTTAAGAGTTGTTCTTTCTGATATTGTATATTTGTGTTTAGTATTTTGAAAAATGTTACCTAGCTTTTGTCCAAACATCACTTTTATTTATGAGTTTATTCTATTGTTTGTTTTTAACCTCTTTGCCGATATATCTTTGTCATTACCTTCCTAGTTCTTAATTTGAGCTTATTGTTTATTTACACATTACTTGAGTTGAGAATTTAATTCACTTTCTATTGTTCTTTCGTGGTCACTGTTATAAGTTTATGAATTCATAAAGATATGAATTCTGTAATCATACCCATACAATAGCATGGGTACTGTTTTATCATTTGTTTTCAGAAAATTTGTAATTCAGGAGTTTTTAAGTTTGTATTTATTTTCACCTAAAAATATTTACTAGATCATTTTTAATACTAATTTCTTCACACAACAAATGTATAAAAGTAAAAAACCCCCACTTATTTCTTCCTTTCCATTCTACCTCCCTAGCTTCCTCCTTTTCCACTTCTTTCTCTGTTCATTCTTTTTATTGGAATAATGAATTCACTACCAGGCTTATGCATCAGGGGCCAGAAAGAAGACTTAATAGCGGCCTGGCCCAGGAAAGCAGGACTATGCAAGGAAAGAGGCTCCTAGGCATGACTGTGACTGAAAGGTACTGGTGGGGCACAGTAAAGCCCCCACAGGGGGGTGAGGAGAACAGCCACATGGAGAGGGGAGTGATAGAAATTGATGGTTAAGTACACAAGAGTAGTTGATCAGGTAAATAAATAAATAACCTGTTTCTTGCTGTAAGAGAAGGGAGTAACAAATCTGGAAACTGACAAAAAGAGAATGAAATCTGTGGTGTTGATTGGAATTGGACTGAGTATTTTGACAGGTGTAACTAAATGAAGAATTAAATTTTCATATACATCTAATTGAACGTAATGGCACACACCTCCAATCCCAGCATTCTGGGAGACTGAGGAGGAGGATATCAAGTTTAAGCCAAGCCTGGATAACTCAGCCACTTAACAAAACTTTGCTTCAAAATTAAAAATATAAAATATCATTGGATGTCATGCAGTGTGAAAGCCCTGGGTTTAATTCTCAGTTTGCTAAACAAATAAATAAATATCTTCAATAACTGCACTATCTATAGGTCTCTACAGCTTTGGATAATTTCTTTGAAAATTTATTTTCAAGGAGCTTAAAATCCAGACTGGTTATTCAACATGCACATAATTATCAACAAATGAGATGTAAATGAAGAACTGTCATAAAATACAAGAATAAGATACTGGAATGGCTGAGAATGAGGATATTATTTGAAAGACTGTATCTTTCAACCCAGGAAAAGAAAACTTCTAAAAACAACGAAAAACCTATTAGACAGCATTGCTATGGAGTCAGAATCTTAACCTTAAAATTTTACTTTAGAAATTCATATGTATGTTAAATTTCAGGCAAGAGGCATAAACCTCCTTGGCTCAAGTTCACATCTATAAAATGTATATATTCATTATAGAGTTCTTTGAGGATTAAATGAGATAAAATTCAAAGTTTCCAGATTACGTTCTGATATAATAAAATGTCATATAAACAGCAACATTACCGCTTAAAACAATTGGCTATAGAAATACTTAGCTGGAGAGAAGTGAATTAATATACAAGAGAGGCATAAGTCACATTAAGAGAAGAAAAATAAGGATAAGACTCAGAGACAAATATTTCTCCTTTTCTGAAATGTATGGACTATGGTCAATGGACAGAAAATTAGGCCAGGCTTAACAACTGGGCTTGAAATGGTTCCTTCTTTCATCTTGCTTTAAGAGAACAGGGTAGCACTAATATTTTTCTATGTTGTCTTAAAATAAAAAGCCTTTCTGACCATACAAATAAGTAGCCATACACTTCTTTGTGCTGTCTTTGTCTTTAAGATGAATTCTTTGTTAAGAAAATTAATCTTTTTTTATGGCAATTAGATCTAAAGGGAAGGGACATTGGATTAAATTTCCTGTTTTTTCTTTCTTTTCTTTTATTAATATGTGTTTCCAGTACATGACATTTACATTCATCTGGGGAGTGAGTACATGTACATAATACATGTTTCATTTTGAGTTCCCTTCCTCTTCCTACACCCCTCCCTCTGCCTCTAAATGCCCTTTCCCCATTTTCATTCTTGTTCTTATTATTATTCTTAGCTTGTGTTTATGACATAAAATGTTTACATTCATTAAGGTTAATAGGTCCCTATTCATGGCATGTCTGAATTCTACTTACTTTCCCTTCTCCTTCCCTTCTTTCTTCAACTTCTGTCTCTGGACCTCTCCCATTTGCAAATGTGCTATCCCCTTGTTTACATCTATTATTACACCCATCCATTATTATTCTCTTTGTCTGTATGTTGCCTTATTCTAATGAGAGACAACAGATGATATTTAAACTTGTGTGACTGATTTATTTCACTCAACATTATATTTCTCAAATGTAACCATTTTCCTACAAGTGTCTTGATTTATTCTTCTTTATAGCTGAGAATTATTCCATTACATATTGCTCCATTTCCTTTTCCATTCATCTGTTGATGGGTATACTGGCTGCTTTCAGGATTTAGCTATTATGAATGGTGCTGCTATAAACACTGGTATGCGTGTATGGCATCTTTAGCATTTTGGGGAGGATTCTTAGAAGGGGGATGGCAGAGTCATATGCATTCTCTAATTATAAGTCTTTGAGAAATATTCATACTGATTTCCATACTGGATGCACTATTTTTCATTCCCACCAACAATGCAGAAGTATTCTTTTTTCACCAGAGCCACACCAGCATTATTTATTGATTTCTTGATAATTTCCATTTTTTCTGATATAAGATGGACTCTTGTAAGGTCATGTAATATTATTCTTATAATTGTATGATCTTGTATTCTAATTTATATTCTTAGCACAATTGAACTTCTTGCTTATTTTTCCTTTTATTTTGAAATAAACCATATTATTCTGATAGTAACCCTTTCTTTTAATTTACTAATGATTTTAGATTCTTTGTCTATTTTCATACAGAAGTGAGAAAGATTTACCCTTTGCTTCTTAACATCTTGGCCATGCTTGCTGTTTAAGACCACATTTACTTCAATGAGTTGAAAATGATGCTATTTTTCTTCTATTCTGTATCTGTTGATTTTTGCTCTTCCTTTCTAGAAATGTGAAAGAAATAGCTTACACCACATCCGTGTGTTCTTTAACTTGTTGTTGATATAAGCATTTTTATCTAGTTTGCAGTAAAAATTGTTGTGCTATTTGTATCTTGTGTGTCAATTTTGGTAATAGTCACTTTTTAATAAAGTATCTATGTTATGAGTGATTTCAGAAGTTTTCATATATAGCCACATTTAAAAAAATTATACCAATTATCCTTATTTTTAAAAACTCCGCTATTAGTGAAATTTGCAGATTTTAAAAATAGTTTTGGAAATAAGAAAACAAATTAAATATTTTACCAAATATATTTTATATTTCCCTTGAACATTTCTTTAACTATTTGTTATTTTCTACTTTATTCCATTGTTAATGTGCTTCCATACTGAAAGCAAGATGCATCTATAATTTCTTAATGTTTTCTCCCAATATTTTATTTATAAAATCCTTTAAAAGAATGGAAGTTTACTTTCCAAAGTTTTGTTGTACAATATATTTTTGGCACATAAAAATATGTTAATGGCATTTACATTTTTCTCTAAGCCAATGTTCTGAGAATTTGTTTTTCAGTCTTTTAAATTTGGTTATTTAAACATTATTCTTTTATGTATTATACTGTAATACAAACATATACACTATATGTCCTGTCTATAAGATATTAATGATTCATTTCTTTTCAAACCCTTGAAACAAGTACATTTTTCTTATCACTATAAATCTAATAAACACATTTTAATATTCATGCTATCAATTAATTTATTAAATATTTGCATTATTTACTGCCTAAAGTATGAAAATAACAGACTAAATTTCCATTCTGAAACTATTTTTTCCTTTCCTTGAATTCATATTTATCTCTTAATAAATTTTATCTCTACATTTCTAGGGAAAATCTAAAACTTTCATGATCCTTGATAAGTAGAAAAAAGGTCTGTAATAGTAACAAAATCAACACTGTAATAACACACAGTGTTGTAGTAACAGTGACAGTAGCTGTGAGAGTTCTATCAAGATGGTATGTGGCATGATATAGTGAATAAGGAAAATCTTATGGCAGGTAAGGAACTGCACACAAGTAAGGCAGCCAGAGTGTTTTGGAAAGTATGACTTTAACAGCAAATATATCTGCTATGTTTTTTTCTAGATGTCTTCCAGGAGCTTCATACATTCATAGGGATGGCTTTTGGAGCACAATTGAATTATGGACTTTACAGCTTGTCTTTAGGAGGTGGGGTCTGGTGGAAAGAGGTGAGAAGGGTCATTGAGGGTGTGGCCCACTAGGATTTATCACCCTCTCTGGCTCCTCTCTTTGGTTCCCAGTCACCATGACACAAGCACCTGCTCTTCTGCAATGCTCCTCTGCCTTTCTGCCCTGATCCTCTGCCTTTCTGCCCTGCCTTGGAACCAGGGGACTACGGTTGTAACCTTTAAAAACTGTGAGCCAAAATAAACCTCTTCTAAGTTGCAGGTGTCAGGTAATGCATCTCAGTCATAAGGAAAGTACTAAGACAAAATCCTTGATATTTATCAATTAACTAACAATCAGAGTCCAGCATGTACTCAATAGGAAAAAGATGGTCCACTGTTCATTATCTATGTCAGTAGACATGTATATCTTTTATTATTTTTATATTGTGTTATACAGACTAGTTATGGAAAAATAAAAAAATATAAACCACTACTAATAATATTTAGCAAGTAAAATACTGTAACACTTAGGGTATATTCTAGTTATTTCTCTTCTCTGTATTTTCATGCACATTGATTTGATTGAGAACATGATTAAATTGATTCAGTTTGTCAGCCTTCCTTTTTTCTAATCTATGATGTGTTGTAAAATCTTTATCATGTCATTCAATGGTCTTATATTACTTATATAAGTGATCTTACATTGGGCCCATAGGGCAATGGCTGGTTAAGAGAACAGTCCCCATTCTTCTTCCTGGTACATGCAAAACTACATTTTCCAGCCCACAACATGTACCCATCTAATTTTGAAATATGACATATACCATTAAGCTCCTTATAAGTAATCAAAAAAAGCAATGATGAATCAGTAAATGCCAAGGCCACCAATGTAAGCAGATTGAATAAAGCACTCTCTGTGAGTCATGTTTGATAATTATAGTATTCAGATTCATCATTATCATTATAATTAAAGAAAGCAACAGGAGCAATGTGGCCTACAAACAAGCATATTTGTAAATGTAGACACCTCTGGGAAGTGGGGCTTTAGAAGGTTTTAATTGATTCTCTCACCATTGTTGTATATCAGGAGACAAGCTGTGTTCCTGTGTTCAATTCAGAACCTTCCCATTCAAACTTCACCATTTTATAAATTGGTAAGTACAGAAATATTAATGTGAAAGTTCTGTGCATGAGACTATCAGGATGAAAACTATCTTGTAAAGAATGAGCCAACATAAAACTACTGTTGGGAGGATGGAATAAAAAAAGGGAGTATCTCTAAATATCCACTTTATTCTTACAAGAAGCATGAATCCATAGATGGATACATTTTTTTTCCAAAATATACTTCTACTGAAAAGTAAAGGAACTGGAAAGGTAGCATTTCTGTGTGCTGCAGAGAAATGGCCTTTGTAACCCTTTCATTTTCTTTCCTCCTGCTTCACTCTAATTCTGTTTTCGAAATACTAATTCTTTTTAGTTGGCATTCTGTGCAAACCAGTGTTACCTTTGGTTATGATTTCATATTTTAACCTTATTTCATCCTTGACATTTACCTTTCCATCTAGGATCTGTTTTTCCCTAGCAGCAGGACCTTCCTCTCCTTCAGTGCCACATAATAATAAGATCAAAAGGACAGATGTGCTATGCTCACAGCCTGGTCTCCTCTACCTCAGTTCAATCTGCAAGGTGAGAACCATTATTATTTTATGTTTACCTCCTTTTGACTTGTGCCTGTGGAACAAGTAATAAATGTTTTCTAAACTCTCATATTTTCCTTTTACTTCCCTTTTCACTTTTCCGCAGCATTAATGGCCAGAAAAACAAATATTGTTTTGACAGCAGGTTCTGAAAAATATACACAGACCTGGTTTTGTGTACAACAATCTTTCTTGAGTTAGCCAGTTTTAAAGAATAGTTAAGGGAGAAAATCAAATATGTGTGAAAAATGATGTAGTTAAATCTGTTCTTTTTTCTCCTTTTGCTGCAAGCAAGCACTTACAAATGTCAGGGAAGAAAATGTTCTGAGAGAGTCTTGTCCCTTTAGTTTGAATGTTTTGACTGTACATCTAAGGAACACTGTTGAAATATTTTATTATTCATATTAAAATATGAATATTGTTTTACCTGAAGTTTTCTTGAAACCACACATATTACACCCTAGAGAAATAATTTTTGAGATAAGAGCTATTAATTTACTGTGACAAATGTAACTTACTTTTCCCTTTGTTTATGTTTTAGAGTACTGTGTATCTAGCCAAGAGATATCAAAAGTTCTAACTTCCTCTTACACTAAGTAGGACACCATGTGGGCAGAGATGTTAGTCAGCAGAATTACCAATACATGCTGGTGAGTAATGCCTTTAACATTTTCCAAAACCTATGCACACATGACTCACCTTTAAATTCTCTTACACATTTTTTTAGAAGACTGCGGGAAATGTGAAAACATGAAGGATATTTGGATAAGTGCTCATTCCAAAGAGTTTAAAAATATTTAAATGAGCTGTAAGAGGATCTCAACACAGGAAAGATATAATAATTGAGAAATTTTATCTAACTCAGAATTTCAAAAGTTTTGCATTCCAGCAATAATAGCTGATGACTAATTTGAGAAAATTACAAAGCTAACTTCGGTGGCCAGGGGGGTGTGTTTTTCCTTTTTGTTTTCCATAGAATCAACAGATTTAATTTATAATAATATGCTCAAGAATGTATTTTTTACAATTTATTTGACAAACCAACCTCAAGTACTTGTAACTATTTAGTGTTGAAGCTTAAAGATGTAAGCTCCTATACTGAGTTTTAGAAGATAAGAGTTCTCTTTATAGTGGAAAATTGTTAAGGTAAAAGAACAATTTTCTTTTTACTTCTTTTTTAAAATTTTATTTTATTGGTACATTTTAGGTATAAAATATACTGACATTCATCATTGGAAATTTGCACCTTTACATCTCTCCTGGTTCTTATTTTTCTCCCTTCCCCTGCCCTCCCTTCAACCCCTCCATCCCTCCCTATTTACAAAGACTTTGTTTCCATTTTTTCACTTTCTCATATTAATTCCATTCCCTCCTTTCCTTTCCCCTACCCCTCCCACTTCCCCTTCCCCTTTGCCCATCAACTGGAGACTGGATAAAGAAAATGTGTGTTTTTAAAAAATAAAATGGAGTACTACTCAGCCATAAAAAATGAGAAATTAGAGACATTTATAGCTAAATGGATGCACATTGAGGTGGTGCTCTTAAGTGAAATAAATAGGACACGTGTAAATACTGAATAGTTTCTCTAGTGTGAGAAACTGAAAGTGTAAATAAGGACTAAAAGGTATAGTAGACAACCTTTTTGTTTCTTGGAAGCATTTCTTAGAATATGTTGTTTTGCACATAATACTATATTTATCCTGCATGTTAGATTCCCTTGTTACCTAATTTTTCAAACATATTTTACTATGGCCTTATAATGTTTGCAGTGTATATTTCCTTTCTTGACTTTGGAATTGATTATGTGACTTGCTTTGATGAATTCAGAGTCAAGAGTGATTGTATGCTATTTCCAACTCCAGGATTTTCTGTTCATCTTCTTTCATTCATACAGTCATCATAAGAACCTTGCACTGGTTAATCTGTTAATAAAAAGTGAATGAGAGACATAAAAAATAGAACCACTCAAAATTATCCATGGATATTTAGTAAGATACATGTTGTTATGACTTGTATTTATATGTCCTCCAAAGCCTCATGCACTCATGGTGGGGGATAATTTTGGAAGAGGCTGGATCTAGGGTGTGTGAATGTGGATTAGTGGTGTGTGAATATGAATTAAGGGTGTGATAATTAATTTAGTCCACTGATTAATTTAGCATTAGAATTAGTGTCAGGTAATCTCTCAGCAACAAGAAAAATAACTAATATGTGAAACAGATCCATCCAGTTGCTCCCTCATTGAACAAACCGACCCTCACAAGATGGAGTATGTATGAAAATAACTTATTATTTTGTTAAACTACAAGAATTTGATCTAATAACTTTAATGGGCATTGTTGACTTAGAATAAGTAGTATATATTTAAATTATAAAATTTGGAGAGTTTTTATGTCTGTGTACACATACAAAAGCATCATAACAAAAACATCACAAGATAATGAACATAACAATCACCCTCAGCATTCTAATATTTATTGGCTGTTTTGTTATTTTTCCCTTCCATGGCTCACTGCTCTTCCCACCTATAGGCAATCATAGATCTGCTTTTGTGTATTGTGGATTAGTTTGTATTTACTAGACTTTTGTTTGAATGAAATAGTATGGCAGATTTTTGCTATACCAGTTATGATTTTTCTTCCAGCAAAATTATTTGGAAGATCATCCATGTAGGAGTGTGTAACAATAGTTCATTGTTTTTTAGTTCTGAATAGCTTTTTTATTATGTAGATACACCAAAATTTATCTTATTTAATAATTCTCTTATTACTGTTTGGATTTTTCCAGTTTAGCAATCATTAAAAATAAAGATTTTAGGCCGGGCATTTAGCCCAGTGGTTCTGCTGCCTGCCTCGCAAGTACAAGGTCCCAAGTTCAATCCCCCGTACCAAAGAAAGAAAAAATAAAGCTCTTATAAACATTCAAGAACAACACTCTGTATGTATATATGTTTTCCTTTTTCTTGAGTAAATGCTTTAGAATGAAATGATGGATAGGTATGGGTAGTGTACAACAAGCTTATTAGAAACTACTGGACTGTTTTCCAAAGCAATTATATTGTTTCACATTCCCAATAGTAGTTTATGAGCATTCCAGTTTGCCCATATCCTGGCCATCAATTGACATTATAAAGTTTTTTTAATTTTTGATATCTCATGTGTAGTGATATATCCTTGAAATTTTAACTGGTATTTCTCTAGTGAACTTTTATGTAAAATATCTTATTAAGTTCATTATTTGTTAACCAAAAGTCTCGTTTGGCTTTTTATTATAGATTTATTTATGATGTAATATATAAATATAAAACATTTATTAATGGAATGCAATGTGATGTGTAGATACGTATATACATTGTATGATGATTTAATCAAGTTAAACATACATATCTCCTTAAACATCTGTCATTTCTTCATGGTACTAACCTTCAAAATTTTTTTCACTTTTGGAAATGTACAATGTATATTTGTTTTCTATAAGCAAATTTTTTCCCCTTTTAAAAATGAAGGTGGTTGTTTTCTTTTTAATGAGTTTTATGCATTCTTCATATATTTTTTAATAGAAATACTCTCAGATATGCTATTTGCAGATATTTTTCTTAGCTTAAAGCTTGTTTTTATTTTTACTGTTTTCCAACAGTCAAGATCTCATTTTTATAGCCTATTTATAAATTCGTTATTCCATGAATCCTAATTTTAAAAAATTTTAATTAGTGAAACTGTTACAGAACCCAAAGTAACATGGCTTTCTTCCTGTGCTTTATACTGGAAATCTTCTACTCATTGTGTTAAGTTTTAATTTGGGGGCTATGATCTTTTTTGACATAACTATTTTTATGTATATCAGATAAAAGTCAAAGTTTTAAAGATTTGTGTTTGCTTTGCATGTTGTTATTAATAGTTCTGATACCATTTGTTGAAAGATTATTTTTTGCTCATTGAGTCACTACAGCATGTAGGAATTGGTAAAACTGGATTTGACTCAATATTTCTTTATTGTAACTCAAAAACTAGAATTTGGTTATTATGGCTTTATAATAAAAATTGAAATCTAGTGCTGTAGTGCTATCATTTTCTTCTTTCTTACGGCATTAAAAAATTTCTATCCCCTTGCATATTTTAATACGTCGTAGAATCAGTCTGTCAATTACTACAAAAACATTGAAATTTTGATGTATTACATGGATTTACTAGATCAATTTGCAATAATTGACTTTGGTAATTTATTATTTCCTTGATATGATTCTAATATTTACTATTAATTCAATTCCATGGTGGCTATACAATATACTTCATATCATTGGACTACTTAAAAATATCTTGAGACTTATTCTATAACAACATTTTTATCTTGTTAAATGTTTCATGCAAAATTGTGAAGAATGTTTATTCTGCTCTTATTGGATGATATATTTTACCCTTACAATGTAAGTCAATTTGTGTAGTAATATGATTTAAATGCTCTATATCTTTACTCATTTTCTGCTACTTATTATGACAAATTTGTTTAAATGTCTTCATTATAATTGTTTGTATGTATCTCCTTTAGTTATATTAATGTTTT